TTTTGATGGATTTAATCGTAGTTTTGGTGGTAATGATGATTGTTGTTCAAGATTATATTTCATTTGTGGAATTATATTTGCTTCATCATAAGCATGAATTACATTCGAAAGAAGATTCCATTCATTTTTTGTAAGATTTGAACGATCATTATTAAGAAGACTAAGTGGTAAAGGCTATAACAAATTTATTCAAACAGGAAAACTCTATTTATATTTCAACAAACCTGTGGTAATTGACTTTCATTGTTATTCTTAATTTCTAGAAGTCGTTGATGTTTTAATTGAAGTTGATTGTAGGACGAACGACGTATTAATTGTGGATTCATACCAAACGCAAAACATTTGTTCAAACGACAGGTTGAACAAATACTTCTTGTATATTGTGTTATTTGACAATTATTGTTAAATTGGCATTGGAGTTTAATCTTTTTAATTGATAAAAAACAGAATGTAAACTCTTACGATAAGAATTTCGAAACTTACGTCTGATTTTAGTATATGTCGTCGAAAAAATATTTTACAAGACATGCATGTCATGACATCATAATTGATTCCACGTGCAATATCACCACATACAAGACAGATTAAAGGCAAACCAGCTGTTCGTTTTGTAAGCATTGTCGATATTTATTGAATTAGGTTTATCATTATATTCATCTGAAAAAAAAATTTCCTTGAATTTTATAGTCATTTCTTTGAAAGATAAAAAAAATAAGAAATCGGCATAAAAAAATATCTCTGTTACTTATGTGTTTTTGTTAATGGTGTTCTATGAAGATCTGTTCGTATAACTGTCAAATCCTTTTTTGTCTTGTCGTGTGGAAAAAAATTGTGGGACTACTTTTTATTTTCACTAATAACAATATGTCGTTCGAGAATGTATTATTCATTAATTTTAACTGAGTTTTTTTACTAATAAAAAATAATGAAACTACCTATGTAATTCATACTGAACAAAAAACATTGCTAGATTGTTCGGTATAATATGCGCTATGCTGCTGGTTATCCTGAGATAGTACGAACATATGTGCAGCGTCATCTTTCATTAGTGAAGTTCTTAACAAGACAACCATAAATTTATTTTATGTCAAAAGTATTACAAACCAATTGTTGAATATAATGGATAACTGTCATGTTTATTTTAAACGCTTGAATTTTTTTGTATTGCTGGATCTGGTGAAAAGCTTTCGCTACAGTTAAAGATTAACATACCTGCAGTATTTACATCAAAGTTTATTCTTTTGAAATCATATTAATATTAAGTAAAATTAAAAGTTTTCTGTCTCAATGATATTGTGTAGTACATTATAACAGTAATGATAATTTGTAAGAATTATTTTTAATGTATAAGTACGAGAGAATACCTTCATTTAATAGTCTAATTAGGAAAATGAAAGCATAATATATTTAGTTTTTTTTATTCTCGTTTCGCATACACGAATAGTTTCTATTAAAACTTGAGAATAGTAAAGTAAATGGGTTTCCTTAATATTAAATGTTGGCGAAGCTTTTTTTAAAGTAGGATAGATAAAATAAAAACACAACCGGAAGTCATACCATGTTAGTCGACGTCATATCGTCTAGACAGCTATTTTCTTCACAGGAGTATATATTTAAGAAATTACGACAAATTTGCCTTACTCGTGTTTTCTCTATGGAAAAAAAGATGAACTCTTATTCTTGTTATCTATCATATTGAATTGAAACAAGATTTTTCTGATTAAATTTTTCTTTTTTAATATGAAAATCTTATTTGAATATGGTATACAGGAATAACAAGCTGTTAGCGCAATCCCTATAGGATTAAAATATGGTACACGATGTAGCTGTTGTTGCTTGCTATAAGGAAATTGTTTTATTCTATCCATTTCGGAACACATTTATTCACTATTCTTTTACTTGATTCATCAGAAATGCGATAATGAAATAAATCATCTATTATAATGGGACGTTACTCATATATGGCCTATCATCGCCTGTTAATAAAGTCTTTCACGATCTGTAGGAGGCAGAGAAAAAGTGGGTTCAAATTTTTGTCTCGATGTTGTAACGCAACCTTTTAGATGGTGTCTCATAAAAGAATATTTTGATTGCACTCGATTAAGTACGTCTCAAGTTTTATCTGTGGAATCAAAAATAAAACAGTTTTTTTTCCTTTACATTATGAAATTGTAAGACTAACTGTTCATTGACTATTTCATTCAACTATACTAAGAATTTCAATCGTTTATTGTTAATAAATGTGTTGTTTCTTCAATAATCGTTTTGATAACATTGTAATATAACGTAATGGGCTTTTCGTTTTTTACCTTATAGAACATTAAGAACATAGATATATTATAGCAGAATCAAATAATTATGTGGCTAGAAGAAATCCATATATTAATATAATAAATATTTCCAAAATATTGTTACTACAAATACTCTTTTGTGTTCTAATCTTAGACGTAAATTAAACAAAATAGTTTATAGTGTGATGATCATAAATTGTTCTAGTACCCGTTCGAAATGCTACATTATCTAATACCTTTGTTTCATGTATAATGAAAATAAAATTTATTGTACCGAACGTTGATGAATCATGATAATACAGTGAATGTTCAATAGATGGTTGAAATAAAAATCCTAAAAATAACGATTAATTTTTATACCTTTGGTCGTATCTTGGATGATAATGATGATTGATATTCGAGGAAACGTTTTTTTGTTGAAGTCATAATTACTGCATCTTGAGGATGAATGATATTGGAAAGAAGATTCTATTCATCATGTGTAAGGCTTTAATAATCCTTATTAGCAAGATCAAGTGGTATAATCTATAACAATATTAATTAAAAACGAGTGAACATATGTTTAAATAAACTAACGATATAATCAGCTTTCACTCTTGATAATTAATTATAAAATGTCGAATACGATAAGATTGCATCCAATTGCGATGATGAATACTAATTACTTTTAGATTCATACTAAATAAAAATCATTTCTTGAAATGACAAGATGAAAAAACAAACACTTATTGTTTCGTATGTTATTTGATGATCATCGTCAAATAGATATTTGAAATGTAATCTTTCTAGGTGATATAAAATAGAATATATTCTTATCATAATAAATTCAAAAATCATGTCTGATTTTAGTACATGTTCTTGAAAAAAATGCTTTACAAGACATGCATGTCATAACATCAAAATACATTTCAGGTAAAACGTTACCACATTCAAGACGGAGTAAAAACAAACCAGATGTTCATTTTGTAGTCATTGTTAAAGTTACTTTTATTTGATTAGTTGTATCATTTTATAATCTATAAATCAATTCTTTCATTGAGTTTTTTTTTGAAGAAAACTATCTGCGAATTTTGATTAATAAATAGGAAAATTAAAGAAAAAAAAATACTCATTTGTAATCTGTAACCATGAGTAGAATGTAAAACTGTGCGTGCAACGATTCCCAGACAGAAGATTTTTTGCTCCCTTTTCATATTCTTTATCCTTGTTAGAAATCTTTTTTTGGGTACATTATTTCCTTATCAGTGGTGTGCTGTCTGAAAATTTGCTTTTTACGACAATTACATCTTATTATTTTTCCTAGACTGAAAGAATATGGTCTAGAATGAGAAATCCACCTATGTCTATTTGTCTGTAACATAGTCACCATATGGTTACTATGGTAGAAATAATTATATAGGATAACAAAAACCAGATGCCTTTGCATAGCGATTGAAATTAACAGGGCAGTATTCCAAGATGAAGAATAGAAAATTCGTATACATTCCGTATTTCACTGTATACGACTGTATTTTGTTGTATTACACAGTTCAGTATAATGATCGTATTTTTCTGTTCAGAATACGAAGAAAGACGATCGTAATAGTAAGCCATGGAATGCAGAAATATATGTCGGCTGACGGTTGTTTTCGAGAATGTTTTTTTGACCTGAGATACTTTTAGAAATAACAATCATTGTTATTAAACTATTGAATTTTTTGATCGATTGTTCAATACTGTGTACATGAAAATATAATGTAATAATTATTAAGCGCTCGAGAATGACTAAATATTAGATTATAATTAATTAAAATCATATTATTTTAATAGGTTGATGTAAATAATTTTTAATCGAATTTTTTATTTTTATTTCTCGATCTTCAAGTTACTACTTTTGAAAAATAATAACTCCTAAACTATTTTTAGAATTACATAATTTGTTATAACCTGAACATATTTGTACTAAATATGTGTTATTGGATCATTGGAATTAATGCAAAATAAAAGAAGATAAATCCTTGTTTATTGCACACGCTAATCATCTCATTTTACCGTAGAAGCTATTAAGATCTTTAAAATATGATATTACATGTAAGGCATGCTTTTATTTTCGTCATATAAATAAAGAAAAGGAATTATTAGTTAATTCTATGTAAATAAATAAAAATTGAAGTACTTTAGAAAAGATGCAACATCAAGGTCATAAACGTCGACTAAACTCAAACAATGTAGTAAACAGTACTTATATTTTAACTCCTGTCTAAATTTTTGTTTAGTATATTCTTTGATAAGCTTTTCATAATACAGTATTATAGTTTGTAAGCATTACATTTTGACAAATATCTTGAAATGTTCTATTTCATTTTCTTTAATGTTGGTTAAAAAAAACTGTACGATTATCATTGTCATATACTTATTATCTGTCACATGTCGAACTGATGATAGTCATTAGTTAATACGACTATTGGAGAGCGTATGAATAGAATATAAATTATGTATTATAAAATATCATTAATGAATCTCGATTTGCAATAAAAATCAAGAAGAAATCGTCTTTCTAGACAATATTAATGCGGTATTGTCTCAAAATTAATCGAACTCATAAATCACGACAAAATCATCAATTTTAGGTCATTTTTCACCACATATGTTATTTGAATAAAAGATTCTATTCATCAATTGTAAGTACTAAACGATTATTGCAAAGATGACAGACGAGAAAAGTGCCTGAAGTGTCCAACTTCTGTTTTTCATTCATATGTCATTCGATACAGTATATTAAAATAAGAAAATGCCTAGAAGAACTTAAGCTGATGGCATACTGGCGAAATGTTACGACCGTTGATATCTCTAATTGTTTCTATTTTACATGATTAAATAAAATATATGATTTATTATTCTTAGTTAATCTACTGAATTTAAGCTACCTGTGTACTCAGTCAGCTATCATCAGGGTATCCTATTACCAGTATATTACAAGATCTTGGTTGAATAATCTGCTGAGAATTATCGGAGTACATGAGAACTTATATGATATCTGTCTAGTTTCTATAGTATTCTATGAAGAGTTTTTCAACAACTTGGTAAATTGATCGTTTAAAAGCATTTTATAGGGAATTGTTGAAATAGCCTATACTTACTATAATTTTTTTATTTATTGTTTGAAGGATTGATGCAAGGGATAAACAGTGTTCCTGAATTTTTGTGAGTTGAAATGAATTTGCTTGATGTAATATGATATTTATGAATTTAAATGATTTAAGTTGATATGAGCAATTTTTTTCACAACGAATAGTTTGAGTTATTGAAGATTATTATCTACTATACAACACCTATTGAAATTTCATT